ACAGTATTTCAGAGATTCTCTAATTAAAACCTTTCTCCCTCAATCTGAGTCACAGAATGACATGGTGGGGCGTGTTTTTCCCTTTTTTTTTTTTTTGCGTTGTCCACATGACTTAGCTGGTGACTGGTATACAGTAAATGTTAACACATAGTTTGAAGAAATAAAGAGCAAGTAAAGGGGAAGGGGCGGGGGGAGGAGGGGACACAGGGAAGCAGCGCCGGCGCCGGTGAGAGTCCCGGTGCCCAGCAGTGGCGGCGCGCGCCCGGGACGCGCGCGGGGCCTGGGGCCGGGCCGAGCTCCGCCCCTTTCTCGAGGCCGCGGCCCCGCGCGGGAGAGGGAGGGGCCGCCCTGTCAGGTGCGGATGCGGCCGGAGAGGGGCCCTTCCCCGGGGCCGCCGGGCGTCTCCGCGCCGCTGCAGTCTTTCTGGCCCGAGCCACGCCCAGGAGTTCGGGCGGGTCGACATGGGGTGGGGAAAGCAAAGGCTACCTAAGAGTCATTACCGTTGGCAGCGAGGAGAGCGACTAACGTCGACGACAGAGATTGCGTCTTCCTCGGCTTCCGCTCCGTCAGCCGGAAATCCCACTGCCCCGGGTCACGTGCTCAGCCGCCATATTGGCTCCGCTGGCCACCGCGGCCGGGAGGGGGTGTGCTAGGGCGGCGCTGTTCCTCTGGACGTAGTTTCCATCCTGGGAGAGCGGTCCTTGGAGTGTTCAGGGGAGGGAGCGGAGATGGCGGCCTTGGTGCGGGAAGATGGCGCCCGAGGCCCAGAGCGAGGGCGGCGGGGCTGCGAGCATTATGACAGAGGATGTCTCCTGAAGGTGACGACTGACTTGGGCTCTTCCCCTACGAGCTTCCGCCGGGCCGGGCTGGGGATGGAGTGAGCCAGGCGGTTAGGTCGGGGCTTAAGTTGGAGGCTGAGCTGTTTGTGAGGCTGCTCCCTTCTTCTCTTCCACCTGGGTTCCTGCTGCGGAGAACAGTCTTGGCGAGGCGTCCACAGGCCGCGCATTTCCTCCTGTTTTGTACTTGGCAAGCAAAGCGGTCCTTGTTTGGGGAGAGCCCGGGCTTGCACATCGATCCCGTTATCAGTGGGTTTATTTATCTGTTTGTTTTTGCTGCTGGAAGTAGACTGAGGCAGTCTCGGGCCTGTGCTGGCTTTTCCCCAGGATCCCCTTCCGGTGTGATGAAATAATGGACGAGGGATAACAAGTAGAGAGTCTGATGTGATTTCGGCTCCTGTAGTAGATACGCTTTATAGCTTCATTCTAGAGTCAGCGAATGTGCCAGACCTGCCAAGGCGAACACGGAAGTGTGAACTAGGAAGACAGTCTTGTAATTGCCACCAAGTAGGACGCGATGGGTAGGACAGTGCCTGATATGCATATATTGTTACTTTCGCGGTTCACTTTGAGAAACATTTCTAGTCAGTCTGTAATTTTAAAAATAGGCACCCATCTTCCAGTGCTACAGCAGCCCCGCTGCCACCACACTGACCGCCTGATGGTGGCTCTCGGTGTCAGGTCTTGGAGACAAGCGGGGGGGGAGGCGCCGAGAGGCAGGAAAAAAAATATATATTGCAGCCCTGGCTGTGTGTCCAGTGGTAGAGCATCGATCTCTGAACCAGGAGATCCTGGTTCAATTCCTGGTCAGGTGCAACGAGAACTGCCTGAGCTGCGAGGCGGGCCTCACACACCAACCACACCTGCAGCAACAGTGAGCGGGGCCTGGGACCCGGCACCGGCACCGCAGGGCAGGGACCCCCTACTTCCCCCCAATCTTATTGGGCTCCCCCTTTTTCTCCCCAAAAAGAAAAAAATAAAAAATAAAAATAGGCACCCATCCGATTCAAGTTTCCTGATTCTTCGTGCAAGAAACAGTTTGAAGATTTTGCTTAGAAAGCTTGAGATTTGGGGCTCCTCAGCCCTACACCCAGATCTTAGCCTTGCTCCTTGATAATTTGAGCAAACTACCCTTTAAGCGCCTCATATATAAAATACAGCTAATAATAGAAGTTCCTGTTGAAGAACTGTGAGGCCGGTAAAGACCATCTAAAGCTTTTTTGCAGGCCATGGTTTGGTGACTCTTCCTCTACTGCGCTGGGCGAGCCCTTTGAAAGTTGGTCGTTCACCATGTGCGGTGTAAGGAATTGAATGCTATTCTTATGCTTCCGTTTCCACTGAGTTGTTCTGTTACTCTTTCAAGCTTGAGATCTAAAGCTGAACTCAACATTTTAGCCCTCCCTCTAACCCCCAAGAAACTATGCATTGTATCTGCGTTTCATAACACTAAGCTAATGGGCCTAGAGTTATCAGATGCTTTTTTTTTTTTTTGTCCTTCCCCTCTGTCTTCCTTAAATACCGGAGGCCAAGTGGAAAAGTTTTTAGGAGGAAGTCATCAACTAAATCAAATGCTGCTGTTGGAGTAAGAGAAGGACTAAACATTGCTCGAGGAGGAGGTAGCTGGTATCCTGAGAAGCTTCTGTGGAGATACTGGGAGGAAACTTTATTGGAGTGTATTCAGGAGAGAATGGGATAGTGGAACTGGTAACAGTCTTCATAGGCAGCCCTTGGAGTGTGTTGTAAAAGAACAAAACACAAGGCTGTGGTTGCTGGGAGATGT